TACATATACCATCATCATCATAATCTCTATTTATCATATGATTTTGTACTTATCATTTTTGTATATCATATAACACATATAACATCATATTATTCATGTAACATATTTCATATCACCAAAAGCCTATGCATCATATATATTGTATTTGTTATTGTCTCTTTATTAGTCCATGTACATTATTGAGAACTTAAGGTATTCGAGTACATTGAGGTTGTGCACTATTGCTGTCACCACAGCTCGTATAAGTCTCATTGAGTGGCATATGAAATTTGTCATGAGGACCTATGTATTTGCCCCGAAGGACCAATGTATTTATCCAGAAGGACCGCGTAGACCCTCGACTCTTGGCATGCCAACTATACCTATAGCTCTCGTATCATATAACATGAGCATTATCATTTATAACAGTTCATATCATTGCTCTTATGATCACATATTTCTTTTCTTCTGTCACGTACCACATGTATGTGTAACTATCTATTTCTTATCATATAACATGTATCACGTATTGGATATTCATATGTCACATAGTGCATATTACTTTACATGGAATCACGTAGGTTGTTTCATATGGCTTATATCATTTCTCCTTTGTTCATATACATATGTCATATATTGTTCACACATAGTCATATATACATCACATAGCACATAAAATAACATATCATGCATATCACCTAGTTGATATCAGATTTTTCATATATTCATGTAGTTCAATATCACATATTGCATATAATAACATATGACACCTATACACATTTTCATGTACTCATGCACACATAAAAATCACAAAACATTTTAGAAATTACTTCTTACCATAATATCTCCGTAACTGGCTCATCGCAAGCCAATGTTTGATCGATATCATAAGTACAATTAAATTGCACTCACCTTAGCCTTGCTTTGATTTGATCCTAGTTCTTTGATTGTTCCTGATGTGATCCTACCAACCACCAAGTTCAAACAAAACATGCTCACAACTTTGAAGTTCTTCCAAGATGATTCTAAGGGAGTCTTGCCTTATTTTATTATTTATTTACTTATTTATGCATTACATGTCATGTGAATATGTTTATCTTATTCTTAATTATGCTTGAATGTTATATGCTGTCATTTATATGTATAATATATGATATTCATGCATGACTTATTAATTCACATCTTTATATAACTCATTCAATGCATATGCATTCATAGTTAGCTCATTTGCATTATTAACATATGTGGAAGCATGCATTCATAATTATCATAGCTCAATTACTATCTAATTATTTGTTTACATACTTTGTCTAGGGTCATTGGATGCTAAGAAGACTAAAGGCAATTGAAGAGTTGGTTGGACAGTTCACGTCAGTCATATTGATCTACATTTTTGAACATGTTCCAAGCATCTTTGGGTGATGAAGTCTTCTTAACATTTAATACCCTATCTCGTATCTTTCCAAAGCATTTTGAATCACATCAATCCGATATTGGGAGCTTGATATATGCCCAGATTACTGAAGACAGTGCAGACTGGAAATTAATACGGGATTTGCAACCATTCATCTCCTTCAAAGGACTTATGCATGAGAGGAATTAATGAAGACATGCATGGACGAGAAAAGAATATTAAAATGAATCAGAACATTTGTGAGGAGGTGCAAGGATTCATTCAAAGGCTTTTAAATTCATCCATTCATGCATATTCATGCAAGAAGCCAAATAGTCATGTTCACACAAGGGGGAAGAATTTCAGCCAAGATACATTCATGACCATTCATCCATAGAAGACAAATCAACAAGTTCACACAAGGCGGGATGAATTCGACCAAAGGATGTATTCCATTAAAAGATGAACATCCATTCATCAAATTTCATTCACCTAAGTCATGCTTTGTATCTACTTAAATTATGAACACTCATCCATGAAGGTTCACTCTTTAAATGTTTTGTATTCACACCATGCACTCTTAGGCCTATAAATAGATTTCCATTCATTTGTAAAAGAAACCAATTCAATTTGTTTAATCAAATATTTGTGAGAGTTTCTCTCTTTAGTTCTTAAGTGAACTTTATCGACTTATCAAGCTTATGCTTGTGGCGTCACCCCTATCTATGTCACCCTGATACTTCTGGTTCCTATCTCTTTATAGATAGTGGGTCAAAGTCCTTGTTTATCATCCCTTAAAGAAGCAATATAAAGTCTGAGTCTTTGTTCTTTAACATTGGTTCTTCTTTGAGTATTCTTTGAGATACTACTTTTCATATTCATCTTCATCACCTTCATTCTACTTCCATTACCATACTTCATCATTTCCTTTAAACATATCACCAACTTATATATATTTTCCGCTGCCATATTTATCTTTCCATTTCATTACTTCCATTTAACCATTTTTTTAACTTTCTTGTTTGTGCAGGATACTTGTTGCTTTCCTAGATCAAAACAATCAAAGGTACAACCTTGACTTCACCATCCATCCAAGTGAGGCTAGGTTGAACTATATCAGTTCGAAACTTGTTTAGGCTCAATATCTACATAAACATAATTTCCGAGATTATCAGAAGCCTAAACCTTATACTTCGATGCTATTAACTTAAACGAATTTAATAAATGCACATTCCTAATTTCCTTTAGGAGTGTACCGATGCACTATGTATGCAATGGTACCCAAAATAACTTCGAAATTTCCATGCATCGATGCACATTCAAAATTGATCTTAATGAATCGGTACCCATTCATAGTGTATCGATGCACATGTCCAGAATAAACTGGTTTCACCCAAAAATCATCTACACTTCACCAAAATTTTCATGTATACAACCCTTATTATGCTACTAAACTCATCTATAACAACTTTAACCAATTAATATCATTCTAACACTTTATAATCTTCCATATTTCATCCAAATTCTTAAAGTTAAGAATCATACCCAAAATTTCCATGTTATCCAAACTTTGATTTAACACTTATAACTTCTTATTCACACCTATGACAAGTCAAATTTAGTTTCAAATTCAACTTATCAACTCTTTTCAGAAATTCACTTAAAAACCCATTCTCTTTAATCTTTCATAACTTCTTAATCTTTTGATTTTAAGACAAATGAAGCTTTCCTTAAGCTTAATTATCATTTAAGAATCAAAACCATACTTAAATTTTAAGGATTAACCAAAAGAAATCAAACTCACCTTGGCTTGGGGCTTCACGTTGGAGAAGAGAAGAAGATGAAGAAGATAAGTCTGGAAACTTATCTCCTCAAAACATGCTTCACATGGGTATTATAATACCCAATAATTATTATTTAATTATTTTCCTTGTTTAATGACTCATTTGCCCTTCACTTCATTTAATAATTACTAACAATTATTCATAAACTATTTTCAGTTGAGTCATTGAACTATTCAACTATTCCACTTTAATCATCAAATTCTAAAATTTTACAATTTAATCACTAACTCATAGTTTAGAATGTTACAAGTATTTTATAATTTTAAATAATCAAGTGACTCAGAACAACTCCATATAGTCGAAAGAATATTTTTATGTTTTATCCTTTTTTTAGTAACCTACTAAAAGATATTATGTCTTTAATTTTTTTAATTAATTGACTATATATATATATATATATATATTATAAATATATCTGATCAAATTTAAAATTTTTAAAAAATACTTTATTTTACCATTGAAGTGATTTGATGAATTGAATACAAATATTATTTTTAATTTTATTAATATAAAAATTTGTTAAATATTTATATTATCTCCGTTAAAAATTATGGAATTTTTTTTAAAAAACTTTAATAAATAGAATAACCTAAACCGAAGTGATAGAAGTCCATTTAGATTGATTGGATTATATTAACCAAATAAACAACTGATAACACATTACCTCTCTCAGTTTCTCGTCCAGTTATTATTAGCCACGTGGAACAGAGAGCTCTTGTCCAAACTGAATTCTCTCGCTGTTCGACACGTGTGCTTCTCCTGATACCCCATTTGCCACTTTAGTCTTTTCCCTTTCAGAATTGGAAGGCACTCTCTTCTTTTCTTTTCTTCATGTGCGTTCAAAATCTCCCTCACTTCCTCTTTCTTCTCTCTTGTTTTTTTTTGTTTCTGAGAAAATTCAGCTGCAAAGAGGAAGATAAGTGAATTACAGGTGAATTTTGTACAATTTTAAAATAGGTTTTTCTTTTTGGTTAGAACTGTACAGTTTCTTGTTTGGTTGGTGGGAAAAACTAAATAGAGAAAGAAAATATCTTCTGGGTTTTATCTTTTTTGTTTTGCTTTGGGTTTTTGAGACCCAATCTTAGGCTATAACCAAAGTCAAAACCTCAGTAACTTCGTTTTATTCTTTACTTTAAGGAACTTTGTTAACAGGTCGTAGTTAGTATCATGAATCGTGCATGGTTATTTTCCTAAAAGATCAAGTGTTATTTAGACATAAAAGAATCATTAAAAACTTTGGGGTTGTATTTATTTTCGTTTATTTTATCTGTTATGAGTTAAAATTGCAATTACTTGGTTAATTACATCTTAATTGCTGTTTTTCTTTTCTTTAGTTTCTCGGTTTGAAAATGCTGTCGAATTTGCCACTATAGATATATTGCATACCCTTTAGATTTTATGCTAGCGAACTTATAAAATTGTAGTGGCGAAAACGGAAAATATCTAAATTACATGAGAATTTAAGATTTTCGATAATCGTAAGCCGTACTATGTCCGAATATGTGTTGAAATAGGTGTGAAGAAGCTAGTATTTTAGACAAAAAAAATGAAGAGTGAACATTGATGAATCTAATTTGAGAAGAATCTACTCATCTTTGTTTCCTCGTTCGTTTAATCTTGATCACCTGTAAAATTTATCGAAAATTTAGAGATGATCACGGTTTTGGACCTTTCGGTGTTCTTCGCCCTATTCTTGGTGTGTTATTTGGATCTTGAAAATGGTGGAATGAAGAATGTATCTTAGCTATATTACACTTGTATTATCTGTTTTGATATGTTCTCTGTTATCTTGATTGGCGATTGCCAGGTATTAGGCGAGTGAACTAGGGCAGAGGGATCATCGGGAAATAATACCATGAATCGATCTGAACAAACTGAACAGCAGCAGCAGCAGCCTGTGATTGGAGTTGTAGATGATGCCGGTCCTCACCAAACTGCTCTCACGATCGCTTCTGACACTCCAGCAGTGGCGGTCCCTTCACCGACTGCTTTCTCTAGTTCGCCGCAGCAACTTGCCTACCAACAAGCACAGCAGTTCCACCACCACCACCAGCAGCTTCAAACGTTCTGGGCCAACCAGATGCAAGAAATCGAGCAAATGTCGGACTTCAGGAACCAGAGTCTCCCACTTACACTGATAAAAAAGATAATGAAAGTGGACGAGGATGTGCGGATGATATCGGCAGAGGCTCCTGTAATTTTTGCGAAAGCCTGCGAGATCATCATCTTGGAACTCACATTGCGCTCCTGGATCCATACAGAAGAGAACAAAAGGAGGGCGCTGCAGAAGAACAATATCGTAGCCGCCATTTCACGGACCGAAGTCTTTGATTTCTTAGTCGATATTATTCCGAGACCATCAAGGAATCATTTGAAGAAATTAATTTAAACACATAATACCTTTAAAAACTAAAGATTTATTTTATCTTTTGCAGGCACCAAAAATTAAGTCGAAACCATCAAAGAATCATTTGAAGAAATTAATTTTTGGTAAAAAAAATGTTTTGACGGGCATTCTTCTCGACAAGATTTTTAAATTGGGAAATATCCGAAGAAGTCTTTATGAGAATTTTCGAATTTCTCATAAGGGATTTCTTAGTTGGAAAAAGAGAATGAAGTGAAAGTGTTTGTCACGGAACCTGTAGTCTGAATCAGGTCGTCGAGCTAACGACGTTAAACAAAAGCGTTTAATGGGAAGCAACCCATTGTTTTTAATTTCGTTACATTTTTATTTTCATTTTTATTTTGATTGAGCATGTTTTATTTAATTTTTATTTTGCAGAAACCAAATATTTTTTGTTCAAACTTAAACGACGAAGAATTGCAAAAATTTCATTCGAACAGTGTCAACTTCGGAATCTAATGAGTAGCGAATAGATGAACAAAGCAGAAAAAATACCTCAACCTGTGCGCACCGTTTCATTAAATGGCGTATTAGCAAAACTCAAAAAAAATTTCCCCCTTTTTTGTTATCTTTTTGACGCCCCATTTCCCAATCCCCTCTTCCCTTCCTTTTCCCTTTCACCTTGGCCCCACCATCCCTTCTCTATAACCTTTTTTATTTTTTAATTCCCTTTTATCTTAATTAAAAACAAAACCCCAAATATCATTCAAATTCAAACACCTACCCCAACGAACGATAGAACAAAACAATAACCCCCAACCTCTTCTTCTTCAAAACATTTCCTTCATTCCCCAAACACCTCATCGTTCTTTCTTCTTCTTATCATCCCCAACCTTATCGAACCACTATGCCTTGCTAACGTGTTTTCACGATGGTGCGCATGAGTAACCAACAAACTAATGATGTCGAGGCTGTGGTCGTGGTCGACAATAAATCTGGGGAGTCCTCTATTCCTTCTCTTGCACTTTACTTTTACGTTTTGGAACAAAACGCTTTAAGTGAGGGGAAGTAGAGTGTAGGATTGAATTTCCCTTTGCTTATCTTTATGTTTTGATGCTAGTATACGTTAGTTGGATTTGTCGGAAATTACATTGAATTTTTTTGTTTTGATGAATATTTTTGGAATGCTATGCTTGTTTGGGAACACATAATTGTTTAGGTTATGATGATCTTGATAGAGAATAGCATAAATTGTGATAAGTTGGTGTTTTTGTGATATTCTATGACTTCGTTGGTTGAAATGTGATTAGCTCAATGCATGAAACAATTTGGTAAGATTTGAGCCTGTACGAGCATATCATTTTCTCTCTCATTTTGTTGGATTGAGTGCGTCAAATTTGACATTGATATTCTAGAACCTGTATGTTAAATACTGTCGAGATTACACATGAACATGATGCTTAAAAATGATTTGGGCACTTTAGGATTAATCATTCCGTTTCCCCACTAAATTACCTACCCATGCATTTTCTCTTTAGTTAACCACTTTTAAGCCTATTTCCGCTTTTGTGTTTTCACCATATTTATAAACCTGAACCTTTTATTTTATCACTCTTTTCTACTATTTTCAGGGCAAGTGAACAGTTATCCGATGTATGCTCCTTGAAAAAAAAGAAAAAGAGAAGGAACAACATTTCGAAAAGAAAAAAAAAGAAAAAAAGAGGTTGTTCGAAAGAAAAAAGAAAAAAAAAGACGTGAAAAATGGAAAACGAAACAACAACAAAGGAAAAAATGCATTTCGAAAAGAAATTTGTTGTTTGATATGTTGTCTTTTTATCTTGTTGTGCTTAATGTTTTGATGGAGTTGAGATTATTATTTGTTAGTTCCTTGCCTTGAATATTTAGCCATATTTTTAGCATTTTCCCCACCTTTACCCGAGTCTCGTTACAACCAATAAAAGACTCTTTGATTTATGCATCTTGTTCTTTTAGTAGTGGAGATTTGATTTACTTGCAGGCCTATGATAATATCGTGTCAATTCGACATTGAGTGTTTCTTTACCTCAAACACATTGAGTGATTCGAGTGAATCCCGTAAGGTGTTGAGTTATAAGCATTGAGATTAATGAATGAATGGATATTGCAATTGCACTTGATTTGTTCCAATTGGTGATATTCAATTGATTGATGTCTTGACTTGAATATTTCTTGTGATCTCTACCTTACTTCCTCGAATGTGAAACTTGACAAAGAACTATAAATGGTGTTTTTGACAAATTTGATTATATCATACATGAGGACAAACATGAGATAAGTAAAGGGGAATTTGATGAGTGTTCAAAATCGTTAATTTTTGCTCGTTATTTATTCGATTTTGTGGAATTATTGTTGCTGAATTGGTCATGTTATGCTTGTTTTTGTGCAGGTCATTACTTTCCAAAATAAGTGAAAAAACGGGCGCATTATGCTTTTTTTTATTATTTGGTCATGATTGGAGACATGGGCACGACTCTGGGCACGACGTGGTCCGATGTGGTGGTTTCTAGAAGGTCCAGTCAGCGACGATTTCTAGAAGACTTCCTCTGCACGTCTTCTGGATGATGGACGAGCAGAGTTGCATTAGGAGACTAGTTTTAAGTTTGAATTAATTAAACAATTATCTTTAGGATGATTTTATTTTATTTTCTTTGTTTCTCCTTAGGCTTTGAGAGGCTATAAATACCCACTTGGGGTAAGCCTAAACTCATCACTCAAATTACAATATTCTTTTCTCTCTGGTTTTATAAAAGTTTTCTCTTTTTTACTTTTCAAGTTCTTTTCATTTTTCTTTTATTTTCAAGTTTTGTTTTTAATATGCTAAGTATGACTTTTTTCATGCTTAGCTAAAATTTTCATAAGCCGAGAGCTGAAGCAATGACTCAATTCCATCGGGAGAATTGAAACAGACCCTTAATATTTTCGGAATACCTCTCTTAATCTATGCGTTTTATTTTTCAAAATCAAAACAGTTTTCAAAATCAAAGATTGACTTTGGTCAAGAGGTTGTTGAGATTAAATGTGTGGGGGGAAGATTCAGGTTATAGAAAGCAATTCGACTTCTTGGGATCACACCTGGCGAGATGGTTTCGCTAAGAGGGAATTGAGATCGGAATTGACGGTTATTGAAGCAACAATCCGAGTCGGTCTCCACGAACTTAAACGATAATTGATCTATGACAATTGATGTTGTTAGAATCAATTTCCGAAGCCGAAATCAAAGATTGCCTTGGGTATTCGGTATACAAGATAGAGTCACAGGGATTGCCCTTGTAGACAAAGTAACCGACGTGAATCCTGGAGGGAAAATCTAATTCGATGATCAAAAGGGAGTTGAGTCAAAGCAAAGCTTGAGGCTATTTTTACCATATCATTTACAAATCTTTATCCTCTTTCTTTTCACTTTAATTAATTTTTATTTAATCTCTTTATTACTCAATCGTTTTTCACCAAAAGCCCCCGTTACTACATTCAGTGCCCGACTTAAATTAACCGAACAGAAAATTATAATTTTTCAAGTCCCTGTGGAATCGACCCTTATTTCTTTATACTACGTATTTATTTATTTATTAATTGAGAAAAAAAGAATTTATTTTGACATTGGAAACGACAATTGTCACACATCAACTCACGATATGGAATTAAGCCTAACGGAGCCCGGACAGGCCAGTCAACAGTCGGCAACTTTAACTGCACGTCTCGTTTATGTTTCATTGCTCTTTCACAAGCATTCATCAAACTGCAAATTAGTTTTCATGTTCGTATCATCACCTCGATACTAACACCATGAAAAGTTTGCTGCATTTATCCCTATGTTTTTTTTGGCCGCACTGATTAGTGTAAATTGATTTTGCGTCGACATGATTGCATGCTTACGAGCATTGGATGTTCATCGACGTGATTTCCATATATTTGGAGGGTTATTGGAGGACATATCCTCATATCTACATGACATTGCGTGGTTTAAGAAAAATAAAGAGTCGGAGCAACATAGATTTTAACCCTTCTCGAGAACAAAGTCACACTGTTCTCGTCTTTCTCATCGTCCGTCTTTTGACTTCTGATATGTTTCCATCTCTGCAGGAATTGCTGTTGTGGTTTCGAATGTCCGTTATCCTCGATTAGGCAGTTCCCGATCGGTTTGCGAGATCTCTACTTGGTGGTTTCCCGTGCTTCTCAATCCAGGACAAGAGCTGCATCAACCAGCATAAGCTGTTTTGTCGAAACCGAATTGGATTTCATCGGTGAAATATGAACCAGGACACAAGTCAACATACATGTATGTAAACGAATGAGCATGTTGTCTGTAAAAGGGGTTTTCTTTAAGGAAAATTCACTCTGGTCTTTTAAGGTTATTTATTTATTTAGTTTTCTTTTCCCCTCTTTTTAAATATAATTTTCTCCATGGCTGAGTTTTCATTTTGCGGAGAAATAGGATGGATCATTTGGTTTTGATGACTTGAATGAAAATAAAATAAAATCTCAGACATCTATCTTAATAAAATAAACTTTAAACGTACTACTTGAAAATTAATTTTTATTCTTTAAAATATATAGTTGAACTTATATGTTTTTTTAATAATTTTTATTTTAAAATTAAATAAATATATTAAAATTCCAACAAACTCCACAAGTAGTCAATTATAAATGATGTTATAATTTCCCAAACAATACAATTTAAAATTAAAATAAGATAAGAACAAGACAAAAAGTGTTAAGTCACGTTTACGTTTTAAGCTCTCCTCTCTTTCTCTCTCTCTCACTCTCTCTCTCTCTCTCTCTCTCTCATTTCTTCATCCAACTTTTAATTTTTTTATTTTACTCATTGAATTTTATAAATTAAATCATTTTGCTTACTCTCCCGTTTTATTTCTAACAGTTGATGTGACATATATTATTGTTTTTATTTAATATAAAATAATTAAAAAATAAAATAAAAACATAAATTGGTTGGGTGCCACCGTCGGCCACCATCGACAGTCGTAAATTGTGGTTGTTTGGTCCCAAAA